TCACGAGTGGCAGAAGCTTTGGACCGAAGAATAAGAATGCACTCGCCCACGTTGCGATCACACCCAGCAGGAGCCACGGGTGGTATGGGTTTCTCCTGCTTGATGAGGCCAAGTGTCGTGTGAAGGTCCCATATCTGGCTCTCGAGGTGGTCGATGCAGGCCTCCTGCTCAGCCTGCTTCGTCGTGCAAGCGCCGATATTTCCTTCAAGCTGGTTCTCCACCTTGTCCCACCCGGTGCAGAAAGAACTGGCGAATGAGTTCTGCACCTTTGCGATCGCGGCCATGACCTCCAACTTCGCGTTGTCAGCGTGAGCGCGCAGCTCCACCATATCAGAAGATGCAGCGGACTGTTCACGTCGGGGCTCCTTTTCTGGGGTCATGGGTCGAGGCTGCAGCGGCCTGCGACGAAGATCCGTCTGTCTGTGGGGACTGCGATTGTCCGTAGGTCGAAAAGAAAAGCTGTGGGCCCTGCGCCCGAGGTCTGAGCCAGCCCTCTCGGCTGCGGGCAAGGTGAAGCCCCTGAGGGCTCCGAGGTTTCCACTTGAGCCAAAATTGATACGGACCGCCTCCTGCTCCTGCTCCTGCTCCTGCGCCTCCTCCTCCTCCTCCTCCTCCTCCTCCTCCTCCTCCTCCTGGCCGCGGCGTGGCCTTCCGGTAGGCGCACACGCCCGCGCCCCTCCACGCCTCAGCCGTCTGGCCGGCCTGCGGCGCGGCGCGGGGCGCGGCGCAATCGCCGCCCGGGCGCGCGGCGCCCGCCGAGGCAGCGAGGCGTGGCCCCTGCCAGGTGCGCCTCTCGCTCTCTCGCGTGCTCGCTCTCGCGGCTCTGGAGCGGAGCGAGGGGGGGGAGGGGGAGAGGAGGGGGGAGGGGGAGGGGGAGGGGGAGGGGGATGGGGGAGAGGAGGCCCTTTCTTCACTCTGCTTGTTCTGTCTCTCTCTCTCTCTCTTTTTCTGCTTCCTTCGGTCCTGGCGGAGAGAGGGGGGTGAGAGGGGTGGGAGGTGGGCTCGGTTCTGAAGAAGCGGGGGTGGGAGAGAGGAGGTGGGATGGGGGCTCTCTTTTTTTTTTGTTTCTCTCTCTCTCTCTCTCGCCCTCTCCGATCCAGGAGGGAGGAGGGGGGAGAAAAGACTGATAACCCTCAGGAGAGAATTCGGCAGAATTCGCTGATGATTACGCTGTGGTACCACTAGGAGACAGGATGAAGAGGATGGCGAAGGGAGGAGGAAAGAGGGATACGGAGGAGGGGCGCGGAACATCGAAGGAGGGTCATGATGGAGGAGGGGGGAGGGACGGCAACGACGTGCGAGGGAGGAGGGGGGGAGTTTGTTCTGCGACCTGCGGCATTCCATCCCAAAGTGTCGAAGTGACCCTGCGTTCGGAAGTGTTTCCGAAACTGCATCCCAAGCATAATCTGCGGAAATACTCGCCGTAGCTCCGTGAAGCCTTGCAGAACGTGACTCGTGCCGACGACGAGCGCACAAGCACTGGAAGCTCGGATAGATGGCAACCACATGCTATAAATCAGCGAGCAAGCGCAGTCTGTCGCGCAGCGGTTTGTGCAACATCCACCACTGCTCGTCCATAGCACGACTGCCGATCCAGCGTTCGCATGGGACCACAACCTGCCGCCGTGGAAGGACCCCCAGAGTGTCTAAGCGGGCCCAGGGAGACAAATAGAAACACACAGATTCCAGGACTCCCTATCTGTTCCATTATGTCCTGGATGTTCGCCTTCCCCATACACCTACCATATGTTCCCACATGCTCCTGGGCATCGACTGTTATGTGTATATGTCTCTTCGTTGTTCCTCCTGATTTTCATCGGGAAGCTGCGGCGGGAAGGCCTGCGAGGCGTCGGCCGGCGTGCTTGCTTCCCTTAAAGGGGCCCCAGGAGAAATACATGCATCGACACGAATTCCAGGATTCACCATGCTCCCCATATTTCCTAGGAGTGTCATCTGCCCCTCCGTGTCCCATGTTTGCCAACATGTCCATCGAAAACATTACCTGTTTGTGTCTGTGCCTATGGTTCCTCCTGGTCTCTGTGCACGTGCCTGACCAGATCGCACCCACGGGCCAAGCAGGGCAGGCAAGGCCGGCTGCTGAAAAGGCGGCCAGGTTCATGGTGTCACGTCTTGATGCGCTTCGGCCGCTTCGGCAGCGAACCACGGTCTGAAGTAGCCACTGACGTCCAACTTAAGCACCTGGCACTGTCTGGTACCTCAGATGTCTACTGCAACAGGAGCTCTTTCCAAAGACTGACCTTGTTTCTGTCTCCTCTGCTGATAGTGTTCCTCCTCATGCTTCGTGGCTCGTCGCCGCTGTATGGAAAGCGACTGTCCTCCCATGTCCAAGTTGCCCACCGTGAGAATCTTCACCCGTCCCCACGCTAATGCATGTAATGTCCCCCCGAACAGTCCTCCCCCTTTATCCCATCCTGCGCAACCTGGCTTCAAAAGCTGTGGCAAGCTGTAAAATTCGTTGACGATCGAGTTGGTTTTCAAATTCCATACATCGTGAGGCAGGCATGACGTTAAGGGCGTGCGAGAGCCAGAGGCGAGGAGATGTCTCTTCTCGGGGGCTGCTGGCCCCAACCTTCCCGCCGCTGCTGCCTGCAAATCGAAAGCGGCAAAACAATGCGCATTCCAACACGGTACGGAAAAAATTGACGCAAGGCATTGGCGCAAGCCGGGTCGAGGTGGAAAGATCCTTACCTTCTAGAGGTCGCGTTGGAAAATGCGTGGTATGCCACAGGAACTCCGAACACACAGTCCTTCCAATTGGTTGATGCGCGTTGCGATAGTCTTGATAGAACCCAGCCTTCACATCAAAACAGCAACCCTGGTGTATCTATTTCGCGATACCTGGCTAACCTGTGAGCCTCGGGTTGAACCCCACAGGACCTGATCAAAGGCTCGCTTGAACAAGCTTCGATGGCGGCTCAGGGTAGCGTGCGTGCAGCCATCACACGATCACATTACTCCCGGCTGCTCTGGTCAACATGGGCATCGGGTACGGTGTCTTCTCTGCTGCAGCCTCACTCGTACCAGGCCGCGGTTGTAGCAAATCCACAGGCCGGGGAGGTCATCAATATTCACGTGGATGCTGTACACATGACGACGGCGGTTTCGGGAAAACCCACGCAAGCTAATGATCCCCGAAAACAGGTTGAACATGAACATCGGCGTGGAGCGACCCTGGCCAAAGATACACGAGTCGTCAACCCACACCGGTCGCCCGAAGAGGCGATCGCTAGTCTGAACGCACAAGTCCGGCTCCCTCGTCGGCAGGAAAGCAGCCGCCGTGCTCCCAGTGGTCTCGCAGGCATTTTACTGGAAGTGCTCGTCTATATGAGCGTGCTGACAAATCGAATGCATGTTGTGGTCAATTATGTCTCAAGACTTGCAGGACGTCTCCAAACAAGCTCCATACTACCATTATGGTAGCTTGTCTGGCGGATCGTAGGACTTGGCCAAGAGGATGCAGAGGGGCGCTGCGTTCGGGCATGTCGACATGTGCGCAACGGCCCCAATGATGATGGCAGGCTGGAAGGCGCTCAGGATGTCGTCAGCCTGAAAAGCAATCGATCAACTGTCACATCACTTCGCAATCCCGAGCAATGGAACGTCCGATGTTTGTTCAAGATGTCCCGCGTCTCCGCATTTGGCACCAGGGTCAGAATGAGCGTATGCAACGCTGCAATGCCCCTGAATGACGGCGGATGCCGGCAAAGCCACGGCATAGCCAGGTGGCCCAGCCCCCCGTGAAGTAGCTGTGAGTTTCAGCATAAGGAAAAAAGGATTGAGCGGAGGGGGCTGGGCCAGCCTCATTTGCCATTACCCCCTCTGGTACCCTCCAGCCAGAAGAATAGGGCACCTCGAAGTGGAAGGGACGGAATGGAAGGACGGGTGCGGAGGGAGTAGGGGGGCGTTGGGGAATGGGGGCTGTGCAACAGAAGCCCTTTCTGCTCGCGATCCGTTCTTCATCAAAGTCCTGGTCTCCAGAGGTCTCAAGAGGTCTCTGGATGGAAGACAAAAGCTTCTTCTACTCCGCCGGCTACTGCTGCTGGTCCCGCTCCTACTGCTGCCCCTCCCCCGCCCCATTCTCCCACCAAGGACTGAGGCCACGCGGCCCAGAAATAGGAAGGGGGCATACCAGCAGCGACTGCTTGAAGTGGAAGACGGCCTTGTCCATCGCGGCCTCGTCCACAAACAGGGACTCCTATGGAGGGGGGAACAGGGCGAGCAGAGGGTGGAGCCTCCTCCCCTTGCCCCTGCTCACTTCCTTCTCGTCCTACTCCTCCTCCTCCTCCTCCGCCTCCTCCTCCTCATTACTCCTCATTCCCTGCTGCACACCGAGGCCGATCGATAGGGCGGGCCGGGCGTTTCGCCTGAGACTTCCTCGCCATCTACGATCATGAAGCTTGACACTTCCAAAAATTCCACGAATGGAGGACGGGTCGCTTTCAAAATGCAGGTGTCGCCTTAGCGCCGCGCACACCCGTCTTAAAAACTAGCAAAATTCGCCTCTCGCCTAAGCGCCGCGCCCATTCGTCGTCACAGTTTGCAATGATGTCACGGATGGAGGGCGGATCGCTCTCAAAATGTGGCTCTTGCCTTGGCGCCGCGCACATTCGATTCACACATGTGCAAGAGTTTCACAGATGGAGGGCGGCTCTCGCCTCAACGCCGCGCATGTTCGTATGAACAGTTTCAACAAAACATGCGCGGATGGAGGGCAGGCCGTTTTCAAAATGTTGCTCTCCCCTTTGCGCCGCGCACACTCGTCTTAAAAATGTGCAAGGGTTTCACAGATGGAGGGCGGTCCGCTTTCAAAATGTGATTCTCGCTTCAGCGCCGAACACAGTCGTTTTAAACATTGTAAGAATTTCATAGATGGAGGGCAATCCGCTTTCAAAGTGTGTTCGCCTTAGCCCCGCGAGCATTCCTTTTAACATGTTGCAAAAGTTTCACACATGGAAGGCGGTCCGCCTTCGACATGTGGCACTCGCCTTGGCGCCAAGCGCACTCGTCCCCACAATCTACAACACTTGAACGGAATATTATCGTTAAAGTCCCAGGGATGATCTTCCGGCACGGTTTAGGAGCGGTGCTGACGTCTCCGGAACTGTGTTATGGCCCGACTCAGGACCCTCAAGACGCAACAGTAGAGACGATTGGCGGCGGTGCAGACCCAGGAATTGTGTTCTGGCACAGTTCCGGATTTTCAAACGGTTGTCTTCCAACGGGGCACTTCCATCAGTAAAATCGGATCCTTGCAGGGGCCCACGAGAAGGAAACTTCGAGGGAGGGCTGATTGCAATATCGTTGATGACTCGTGGGTTTACGCCGGTCCTCCTCCTCCTCCTATCCTTGGCCAGACGGTGTCCAGAAGACGTTCAGAACTGCCGCCGACATTCGCTCCTCACCCTTTCCTCCTCCTCCTCCTTCTCCTCCTCCGCCTCCTCCTGCGGCCGCTCCTCCTCCCCGTCCTCCCCCAAAGTCGCGGCCCCTGGGCTTCTCGTGTGATCGGCACCCGCGCCCCTTTCCTGACAGCCCCTTCCCCCCCTTTTATGGGAAAGCCACCCTCCTCATCCAAACAGTACGGACTTCCTTCGTCCTTTCGGGGCCTCCCAGGGAGCCCTCGTCGACCCACCTCTGAATATGCGCCTCGAGACCGACTTCAAACAGGAAGAGGAGGAGGAGGAGGAGGAGGACGGCCACGCAGTAAGAGGAGGAGGGAGGAAGAAGAGGAGGAAGAGGAGGAAGAGGATGCGGATGATGATGATGAGGAGGAGGAGTTCGACGTTCAGGAGGAAAAGACGAAACGAGACGAGCCCGTGGAATCTAATGCAGTCAGCTACACTAAGGATTCTGGGAACAGGAAGCTTCGTCCCAAATGCGGATATCGTGACAGCTATGGAAGCCACTCTTCTCGAACGAGCCACTGGCCTGGGCGGCGCCCTCGGGGCACGCATCCCCGAAACAGGCCCGCCAAACGGCATGGGAAACCATCCTCCCCTCCGTCCCTCCCTTCTCCTCCCACTCCTCCCCCATCCCCCATCCTCCTCCCCCTTCCCCCACTTCCTCCTCCTCCCACTCCTCCCCATCCCCCCTCCCCCATCCCGTCCTCCTCCCCTCCTCCCTCCTCTCCTCTCCTCCTCCTCCTCCTCCTCCTCGCTCCTCCTCTCCTCCTCCTCCTCCTCCTCTCCTCCTCGCTCCTCCTCCTCCTCCTCCTCCTCCTCCGCCGAGCCAACAGCACACACCCACACCCATTGAGGGGATCGGAGAGGGCTATGGGATGTTTTAAAAGTATGGGATGTGTAATGCATGACGAACTTATGCATGAATGCGTGCATGAACTCCTCACTGTTCGTAGTACTCTAAATCCCTGCATCTTTGATACAACGGCACTGTACCCACAAGGGGGTCGGAGAGGGCTATGGGTGCGTGTTGTCGGATGGGGGGGCCCGCTCGAACGGGAGCGTTCCCCGGGGTCCGACAAGCCGCACCCATACCCATAGCCAGTCCTCCTCCCCACGAACCCCCCTATGGGTAGGGGTGTGTGTTTTTCGTTCGTCAAGGACTGCGAGGCGGGGGGATTGGGAGGCTTGGAAGTGGGCACCGACCCAAACCAGGAGGCTGCGCTCACCAGGGAGGGGTGATCCCAGGTCTTGGTTGGCGGTAGATCTGTGTGGGGTGATCCTAGATCCGTGTGAGGCAGGTGGGGGGGGCGGGGGCCGTCGGCATCGGAGCAGGCAGCCAGGACTGCGAGGCGGGGGGATTGGGAGGCTTGGAAGTGGGCACCGACCCCAAACCAGGATTTTGTTTTCGTTTCAGCCCCTGAAGTTTCAACACCACTGGGGAGGCGACCCAGAGGTGAGAGTTTTGATCAACTGAGGGGGGGGGAGAACCCCTCAGCAAACGCACGTTTGGCGTGAGAACCAGCATCCTAAAACGGCATTGCGACCCCAAACCAGGAGGTTGCGCTCTCGGGGATGATGCTAGATCTGTGTGGGCGGTCATATTTCGTTCACCTAGGAAGTTCTAGTAGTGCCACCCATCGTCGAGATGGGGATCAGCTTCGCTCGGTGGAGGCACACTGCCGATCTTGGTGTTGGTGCCAACCCCTGTGCCTCCCAGAGTTATCCATACTCCGAGTTTCTGAATAAGCGTCGGGTGGGCGTCACCCCCGCCGACAGGCCCACATCGACCCCCGTCGCGGGCAGCCACCGCGCGCCAACGGCGCTCCGACCACCGTCGCGGCGCGACGACGAGGCAAGGTTGACCCCCGTCGGGGGGGGTACCCCCCCACGCTTATTAAGAAACCCAGAGTGTCCACCGCCTGGGGAACCGACGACCTGGGACCCCAGCGGAGGGGGCCCGAATGCACCCATATCCACCGCTTGCCGAGGTCCCCGAAAATGGGTCCTCTAGGCGGTGGTTATGGGTAAATTCCCGATTCGGAAGGGATTAAATCGGAAGCTCCCCGGAAATGCCGGGGGAGCGGTACCGGGAGCGTCCCCGAGATGTGGCGGGGATGTGTGAGACCTGGGGCCGGGGGGGGGGGGCGGTATTTATTTATATAGAACCGCGGGCGCGCTTCGCGCGCGCTTGGGTGCCTTGCCTTACCTCGTCCTCCAATATTCCTTATACGTCCTTCCTCGTTAACCCTCCAGACTCTCTCGGTTGTCCTCGCTTTTCGTTTCTCGTTCTTGTCGACGGCCTCCTCGTGCTTGGGATTATGCGGGGACTTCGAGCTGTTCAGGGCCGGCGTGGGAAGATATTCAATATGAAGTGGGCTGGCTTGAAATGTACGGGTCTCTTGTGGATCTTCATGTTTGGGCTGCCTTGAAGGCCTTGGGGCCCGCTTGGGCCCCTCTTGGGCTCTTCTTCGAAGTTGTGGGGCCGTCTCGAGCCTCGGCGCCATGTGAAGCTCTCCCGAAGCCATCCGAAGGAGACGAGCGTGAGATCTACTGAATATGGTGAAACCTGAATGGTTTTTGCGTTTGTGGCTCTCTGGGGTCATTTGGGAGGGCCTTTGGGAGTTCCACTGGGGCATCTTGTGGCCCCTGGGGGCCGCCTTGAAACATCTTGGAGCGTCTCGGACCACTAAGGGACCATCTTGGCGGCCAGCGGGCGTCCTCCTGAACCAGCTCGGAACCACCTTCAGGCCGAAAGAACCACCCAAAGACCCCAAAGCGGATCCCGGAGCCAAGGGGGGGCAAATTGGGTTGCGAAGGGGGGGGGGGGGGGAACGTGGGCCACCCCAGGGCCACCCCAGGTCCCCTCCCCCAGGGGCGGTCCCGTCGTCTTCTTCCGTCGTCCGACGTCCATCGTCCGTCCGCCCGCCATGTTGTTTCTCTATGACAGCTCTGCCGCGGGCATCTTCTCTCGCTTGCTCTGAGTATATAGTGCCTGGGATGCAGCGACCAGCGCTGTAAATGAGCTGCTACCTTGGGCTGCAGCTCGCTGGACACTGCTGCGTGAAGGCACTGCTACCTTGGGCTGCAGTGCCATGCGATTAAATACTCCAGCATTGCTTATCCCACACGGCACTTGAACGAGAGATGGACATGCTTGGTTCGCGCATGAATTTCTGTCCTGAGTCCTGAATGGATGAGCATCTGACCCAAATCCAAAATTCCCAGATTCCTTGGGGCCTTCGGAGGCTCCGCGAAACCGTTAAGAAGCCGGGAGGCGCGGTACTGGCCAGATGTCAGGGGATGTGTAGGACCCCCGAGTAGGAGTTCCACTTTGATGAAAAAAGGGAATTCGTGGAATTCCCTTTTTTTGTCCAAAATCCTCGATCTTTGAGGGTTGGAAGCAGGCAAACGTGAGAAGGCGGAGAACATTAGAAAAAACTCTGGAAATCAATGATTTTACCCTCTTTGGGCTCTCTCGGGACGGCTCTCGCAGCTCTCTTGGGCTGTTCTTGGAGCCTCGTCGGGGTCTTTTTGGGGCCTCTCAGGGATCGGGGTGTGTTGGGGGCCTCTGGGGGGTCCTGGAGGCCTCTCGGAGGTTTCTCAATCCCTCCTGCTCCCGCTCTTGGGCCCATCTTGGGCCTGTTCTGGGGTGGTCTGGGGCTGTCCTGGGCGCCTCTTCGGCAGTCTTGGAGCCTTGGGGCCGTCCTGAGGGTCTCTTGGGTGGTCTTGGGCCGGTCTTGGGAGGCTCTTCGACGCTCTTGGACCATTGGAAGCTCGAAAACGCGAGAAGCCAAAAACATTTTTTTTTTTTTTTTTAAAAAAAAAAAAAAAAAAAAAAAAAAAAAAAAAAAAAAAAAAAAAAAAAAAAAAAAAAAAACGAACATCTACGACTTTGGCATCTTTGGGGCGTCCCAGAACACCTATCAAACCTCTATTACGGTCTCTTCAAGGTCACCTGGGAGCCTCGAGAGCCGTCGGAAGGCTGACTTGGGCTGCTTGGGAGCGTCTTGGGCCATCCTTTCGCATTCTGGGGTGGGGGGCGTCTTGGGCCCTCCTGGAGTACTGTGGAGGCTCCCCGGACAGGCTGGGGGAGCGGTACCGGGAGCGTCCCCGAGAGGTGGCAGGGAGGTGTGGGACCCGGGGAGGGGGGGGCGGTATTTATTCATACACGCGTGTGTGAGTGTGCGAGTGTGTGTGTGTGAGTATGTGTATGTGTATGTGTATGTGTATGTGTATGTGTATGTGTATGTGTATGTGTATGTGTATGTGTATGTGTATGTGTACGTGTACGTGTACGTGTACGTGTATGTGTATGTGTATGTGTCTGTGTCTGTGTCTGTGTCTGTGTCTGTGTCTGTGTCTGTGTCTGTGTCTGTGTCTGTGTGTCTGTGTCTGTGTCTGTGTCTGTGTCTCTGCCTGTGTCTTTCTGTGTCTGTGTCTGTGTCTGTGCCTGTGCCTGTGTCTGCGCCTGTGCCTGTGCCTGTGTCTGTGTCTGTGTCTGTGTCTGCGTCTGCGTCCTGCGTCCTGCGTCCTGCGTCCTGCGTTCTGCGTCCTGCGTCTGCGTCTGCGTCTGCGTCTGCGTCTGCGTCTGCGTCTGCGTCTGCGTCTGCCCCTGCGTCTGCGTCTGCGTCTGCGTCTGCGTCTGCGTCTGCGTCTGCGTCTGCGTCTGCGTCTGCTAAGGACGTCCACTTCAAAGGATTCCGCGTAACACGTCGCGTCAGGAGGTCGCCACGGGGAGACCTCCTGACGACCGTTTGAACGCGACGGTCGAACTGATTAAAACCGCAAACGCATGATGGACAGCATACGCGTCGAAGACGCTAACGCATTCAAAGTCGTTGGCATCTACATCATAATCGTAGCCGTCACCGCGTCAACACGTGTAAAAAAACTCTGACACAGCACCCCAGAGACACTCGAGAGGCCAACCACGAGACCCCAACCAGCATACATGAGATCCCCAGGGGCGACGGCGGGATAGACCGAAGGCCACTAGATAGGGCACGTTCGACTGAGCGTCGCATCGGGGGGGGGTGGGGGCTGCATGCGTTTCTCGAGCGCGGGGCGGCGCGTCGGGCATCGGGCCCTCTGGTAGTAGGCGTCGGGCGGGGCGTCGGACTGGGCGACGCGCCGTGGGCGTGCGTAGATACGCCACGCACGCCCGCCGCCTAACATCCTAAAACAAAATTTCAAAACAGCAGCACCACTGGAATGGAATGGAAAGGGAGATCGCCGGTCGGTCGAGGGCGGGCGGGAGGGCGGCGTCGATGGCATCGGTCGGCGCGGGGCTCGGTCCCCATGGGAGGAAGGATGAGGGGAGGGAGGGGTGGGCATCGTCGGACCCCCAGGGTCATCAGAAACGGATACAGGGCGAAAGGGACGGGAATGGGGCGGCCCAACAATCGAAACCCCAGGGAGTGTGGTGAGGAGGTGAGGGGACCGACGAGGTGAGGAGTAGGTCGGAGTAGGTGAGGAGGACGAGGCGGGCGGGGATCGCGCCTGGCCGCGGCGGCGCGCTCGGGCGCGCGCACCGCGGCAGTGTGGAGAGGAGGTGAGGGGACCGACGAGGTGAGGAGTAGGTGGACGAGGCGGGCGGGGATCGCGCCTGGCCGCGGCGGCGCGCTCGGGCGCGCGCACCGCGGCGGCCGCGGCCCGCCGGCGTGGGCCATGGGCGCAGCCCGAAGGCCTGCTCCCCCTGCCGCTGCGCCGCGGGATCGTCGGGGAGCAGCATGCCGCCGTCGCCGGCGGGTGCGAGTGGCGAGGGGAGAGTGTGGGTGGGAGTGAGCAAGCAGAATTGGGAATGCGAGCGGAGCGGAGCATTGTGGGCGGGTGAGGGCGCGCATAGGAAGCGCGGGCGGCATGGCAGAGAGGGAGTAGGGAGTGTGCGAAACACTGGCAGGCTGCTCCCCGACGCCGATTCTATACACAGCCGCCGTCGCCACTGTCGTTCCCTCATGGATTCATACACCCATCATATCATCGACCGACCTCCCTGATGCCTGATGCCCTGATGCCTCCCTCATCATATCACCGATCATGCACAATATTCTCATCGCGTGTCGTCGTGTCTCGTCCTCCCTCATCCCCCCCCCCCTCCTCTCCCTCATCTCCTCGACCTGCATCGCTGCATCACCCACCCACTGTATCGCAGCTCATTCCGCGTCAGCCGTCCTCCTCATCCGTCCTCCCCCCCCCTCACTCCTCTCCTCGATCTCCTCTGCGTCGTTGTCGGCACCAATGCTACTTGAGCATGTGCTTATTGCACACCGCGTCCGCGGCGCGCGCTGACGCCGTCGCCTTGGACGGTGGCGCGACGCCGCCGCCGTGGGCGGCGTGCGCTGCTTGCACAGCGACGGCGCCCCCCACTGTGGGGGGGTAGAGGCTCGCCGCGCCGCCCGGTGCCTTCTTGGCCAACTGCGCGCGCTGCTTGGCAGCGCGCTCGGCCTCGGTCGTCTCACGCGTCAGAGCGATCGGGCCGACCTCCCCGCTGAGGTGCTTGGAGATGAGCCTGGGCTGGGGCAGAGTGCGAACAGCCGCGTGCCCTCCCCCCGTCGGCCCTGAGATACCCCAGTCCCCTGTCGAGTGACGGGGGAAGGGGGGGCGGGGACATGGGTGAGGTCGGATCTAAACACGGGCACGTCGGCCCGTTCGATGAAAGAGGGGGGGTGGGCGAGGTCAGTATCTCACCCAAGGGGCAGACAGAGAGAGCCCGCGACTAAACCCGTGAATCTGATTTCGCGGCGAGATCGGATTTAATCACGGGCTCTCCCAGTCGACCCGTTGGATGAGATCTGAGATACCCGCGCCCCCCCTGTCGACGGATGGGGATGGGGGAAGGGCGAAGGGGTGGATGGGCGAGGTCGAATTTAATCACGGGCTCCCCCGCCGGCCCCACTGCATAACATAAGAGGCCCGATCCCCCGTCTGGTCGTCACAGCCCACCGCCCACCTCACACCCCGCCCCCCGTCAGCCCGTCGGCCCGTCGGCATCCGAACCGAGACCCTGACCCGGGATCCGACGGATTTGGAAACGTGGGCTGCCGTGCTCCCGGGGCTCGGATGGGGGGCACCACACAACGCCCGACGATCGATACTCGGGAATCGACATTCGGATTTCGGGAGCCTCGGGATGCTGACATTTACCTTGACCATTTTGTAATCGTCGGGCTCGCTCGCGCCGTCGACAGTGTCGCACTGGCCGTCCTTATCAATGAACACAGGCAAGATCAGGGCATCGTTCATCAGCACCGCCTGATCGGCCTTGGCGACAGACTTGATGTACCACGCGAGCTCCGGGAACTGGCTATTAATGACATTGGCGGCGCTCGGCGGGTTGAGGTAGAGGGGCACGCCGAAAACCTGACGGCGACGACCGACGACGGCGGCGGCGAGACGAATGACGATCGGACGAGACGGTCGGAAGGGATGAACGCATGCCGAGTGGCTGAGGGAACAGTCCCTCGCCCACTCAGCATTAGTGCATCGGTCTTCCCTCGGTCCCTGGGACCGAGAGACGCGCGGCTGGTAGGCTGGTAGGGCCAATGGTACGATGGCACGGCGGTAGGGCCGGTAGGGAGGACGAGGAGGAGGAGGAGTGAGTAGGGACTTAACTTAACGATTAGGGAGGTTGAACTGGGGTCGGGCTGGGGACGAGGAGGGCGTGCGCGGGAGCGTGGAGGGCTCGGAGCGCGGGAGGGGGCCCTGACCGCGCCTCGCACAGGATGAACGACGCGGCGTCCTTCCTGGTGAGGCTCACCGGGCCGACGTACTGGAGGCACAGCTTCGCCTTTCTTTGGAGGGGGGGGACGTGTCGACATGCCCGCCCGCCCTGTCCCGCACCGCTCCCTCTCGCCTCTCCCCCCCTGCACGAGGAGGGGAGGGGGCGGGTTCGGAAGGATGTGGCGGGGCGCACTGCACGGAATGAGGAATGATCACAGGAGGCTGTACGAGGAGCCGATGCGGGGGGCGGGGATGCGGAGGGGGCGGAGGGGCCCGAGGGGTAGGATGTGATGACAGATGATGAGATGATGAATGATGGATGGATTGGATTGGCCCCATGGATTGGGCTGCCGCTCACCGTGTCCGTAGAGCCCTCGCACAGCACAGGCGGGGTCCACACCAGCGAGGTCTTGTTCTTCTCCTCGAGGACGAGCGAGATGCTGTTGAAGCCGCCCAGCCCGCTGTGATCGGACAGGGCGTTGGTGCTGATCGGCTGCTCGCCGTGGAAGCAGAAGCACCCCGACTCGCGGAACGTCTTCCACAGCAGCGACTCCATCGACCGCTCGACCGCCTTGAGAAGCAAGCCGTCGACCTCGATGTCGAGCGATTTGGCCATGTCGGAATCGCTCAACGCGCGTGGCGTCGCGCGAAGCTGCGGCGCGAAGTAGTTGTACAGCTGCCACACAGGGACCTCGATCGAAGGGCTCCCGTCCGCGCGGCCCCCAACCACCGGCGCACAGCCGCCGACCGCGCCGACCGCACCAGGCGCGTCAGCGATGGCCTGGGCCTCAGTCTGCGCAGCAGCGGCGCCTGCGTCCGCGGTGGGCGGCGCGGCGGCGACAGCACTGCCAGTCGCGTCCGCCAGCGGGGGTGGCAGTGTCGCCTCGCCGGTGGCGGTCGACGCCCGATGCACCTGCTCGGCTGCGCTGATAGCGGCCGACTTCATGCGCGAGATGGCGCCCCGGAGCTCCGTTGACGACTCGCACTTGAGTACAGTCGACCATGCCGCTTGCCACTTCACCGCATCGTTGGTAGAAGCCTCGAGGCCAATGAACGTGGCCCACATCGTGTCTGAGAGAAGGGCCGGGTCATCGATGAACGCGCTCTTGAGCTGGACGGTGCCAGGCGTGATGTCAGTCGGTAGCTTCTTCATGACGAACAGCGAGTTGAGAGTGGCCGCCACGTAGCACGCGCGCGCGCGGAAGAACGCCTCGAGCGCGGTCTGCGTCGGGAATAACGAAGTCACGAAGCTCGGGAGTGATCCCGCCTTGGATGCAAAAGCCGACACGGCCGACGCTGCCTCGAACCACGTGAATGGCAGGTGCTGGTCGATCACGCTGACGAACGCAGCCAAGTCGAAGGAGTCGAGCGTGGCTGTCGCGCGCATGAGGCTGCCAAGCTGCGCGTGCATCGTAGTCGGTAGGTGGGCGTTCGCGACGACGAACGTGTTGATGTCTGCGGAAACCGCCGTCACCATCGCCTTAACATCCTCGAGCGAGAGGTCGCCGTCGTCGCCACCGCCGACGGTCTCCTCGACGGGCCTGCTGCAGCGGGCCACCAGCTCCTGTGCGAGGCGCTCGGGGTCGGCGGCCGCGAACTCCGCCAGGTTATCCTTCGACGACAGCGCGGCGCCGCCGCCCGAAGAAGCAGCAGCGCGGACAGGACAGCTAAGCTTCATGAGCACCACCGCCTCATCCCTGAACTTGCTGTGCGATTTCACGAGTTTGGCGTTCATGGCGACGCTCTTCGAGAAGGTGAACTGGAGGAACAGCGAGACGACCGTCTGCCTGACCTTCTCGCGACAGTCATCGGATGCGCCGTGGCAATGGTACTCGACCGAGTGCATCAGGTCGTCAGCAGCTGTCGTCGGGCGCTCCATCGCCGAGTCGGACGCAACGATCGGCTGCGTCATGACAACGAACTGCTCAGCATTGACGGTGACCGCCGCCGCAGTCCCAGGCGGCGCCGCCTGGCCGGGCGTGATGCCCTTGCCCTTGCCCTTGCCCTTGCGGCGCTTCTTCGAGGCTGGCGGGGCAACAAAGCCGCCGTTGCCTACAGGAGGAGCGCCGCCGCCGCCGAGGCCGTCGAGCACGGAGCCAGGATCGGCATGGGGCGTGGCCGTGGCATCTGCAGCAGCATCGGCAGCCGCGCTCGCCGCGACGTCAGCCTGCTTCTCGTACTTCTCGATGAGCTTCTTGGCTGCAACTGACTCGCGCATCGGTGTCAGGATGAGCTTGAACAGATCGCCCGTGCGCTGCGAGGGTGCCTGCTCGGGAGCCACGACACAGGGGGAGACGACCCCGACCCCGCCCCAGGCCAGCCAGACCGTCGGACCGTCAGGCCGACGCCGACGCCGACGCAACCGACTGCCGAAATGGCAACCGAACGGACCGGCGAGGAAACGAAGATGCCGATCGGGCCGACCTGATCTGGCTGGATCGCGACGTCGAAGAAACGGATCGCTGATCTGGTCTGCTGGAATCGTTTGATATGACATGCGACGCCTGGAATATCCACGGGATGCGCCGCTGGCCGGCGCTCTGCTTCGTGGACATCTTCTCGGGGAGGGGGATGCAGAACTTCAAGCCCTCGAGGATGAACGTGCCGACGACCGGCTTGGGCCAGTACTTGCCGAGCGAGGCGATCACGCTGAGGGTCCACGAGTGCATGATGTTGATCACCGTGAAATTGTTAATCGACTCGTCCAAAAAGTTTACGTAAAGGCGGGTCCACTCTTGGAACGCCTCGAATATCCCATAGCGCTCCAAATTGTGCGCGAAGGCCTTGGTATTGCAAAAATGTTTCCAGGAATGCAGCTGACTGCTCCGCATGTCGGCCGTCTTGACCTCCTCCTTTAGACGCAGCTCAACGAACTCCTCGTACAGCTTCTCGTACTGAGGGTTCCCGGACGCGGGGATCTGCTTCTTGTCCGCATGCGCCTGCCAGGCCGCCTCGAGCTTCAACGCGAGTAAGATCGCCTGCATGAACGTCGGGCGGCTACCCTGGTGATAGGTGTTGTGGAAGTTGCACACCCACTCTAGCGCAAACCCAGGCGTCTCGTGCTTGACCATCCGCGCCCGCATGTTTTTTCCGCAAGGCCGACTGGACGTAAATGTTGTCGGGGTCCTGCGAACGGCTGGGACACACCGCGACGCGCACTGCCCCCCAATGGCCCCGGGGCACGGGGGCGGGGGAGGGGGGGCGTCCAGGACTGCGGTCCCAAGGACCACACGATGGGAAGGTTATACCTTGGGCGCGAGGCGGCGTGTCCTCAGCGTGCGCCCTGTAGAACGCTTCGGACAGATGGTTGAACGTGACGGCGTACACCGGCATGGCCCGCTCCTGAGCTGATGGCTGATGTAAATTACGCCACACACAGCACCACACTCAGCACTACAACTCAGGCTCTCAGGCTCCGTAGGGATCGGCGGAGGCGGAGGTGGAGCGGGGGAGCGGAGGTGGAGGAGGTGGCCAGGGAGGATCGGGGACGGTGGGATAATGCATTGGTTTCAGGGGACGGTGGACGGTGGTGGAATTTGATTTTACAGCAGGGTCCTTGTTCGAGTAGTGCAGCCACGCCTCACCGCGGCAACCGAGGTTCAGGCCGCTCGTCAGGATGCGGTTCTTGTAGTCCTGCTCGTCAGATATCAAAACCGATCAAGCAGGCGATCGGCCGGGTGAGAGACCGACGGGACCGACGGGCGGGGTCAACGGATATAATTTGCACAGATTGCACAGAACGGGTCCTCAACCACAGTCTCACTCAACCCTCGGTTGAATGGAGACGACTTGACAGCGCGTTCGACGGGCTCAGCATGTGCGCCCCTCGCCGGAGAAGAAGCCGATGTGACGAACCAGCGGATGTCTGCGTAACCTGGAGACCAGAGGGATCGGTGCGATCGCTGCAATCGTGGCCACGAAACTCGCACTCACCTTGCGCACCCCCCCCACCCCCCGAAGAGGGCGCAAGTAGGGTTGCGACGCGTCCCGATGTCGGAAGCCGTCATCGTGGAACGTCTAAGTTTCACTGTCGTATGAACAGCGTTCAACCGAGGGCGCCCACACACACTACCCACCCACTCCCAAAGGAACCTGCATCGAAGCGCTCCCAAAAACGGTCGAGCATGATGCTCCCGTCCACGTCTCCGAACAATTCACGCATGCTCTGGGCGTTGGCGGCGTCGGGATGCGTCGCAAGAAGTGACGGCGGTACTTGCCCAGCGGCGGGGCGCTTCTTGGCGGTGCCCCTGGGGGAAGCCATCGGTGGCAGTGGTGGGGTGGGCCCCGCGGGGCGGGATCCCCAGGCCACGCGGGCCTGACTGGCCCGCCGAACACTCGGCCTGAATGCGGCACTCGAGCCGCGGCAGTGCGCCAAAGGCTACACAACAACCAGGGAGAATGCGCCCCCCCCCGCTCAACAGGTCGGCGTGCGCGGTCGGGCCCGAGTGAAGCGAGGAAGCGATGTAGAGTGATATTGAGAGGCGCGGTGGGCGGGAGCTGAGATGATATGAAGAAGGGGGCGGTGAGGGGTGGAGTGGAGGGGGGGGGTGCACGGTGGACGGGCATGGGCGGGGCGAGGAGGCGAGAGGAGATGTGCTCCGGAGGGGTGGTGGGAGGGGGAGGGGGGGGGGCGGATGGATGCTGGTGATGGCGGGGCGAGGCTCAGAGGAGAACCGATGTGGCTCAAGTGGCTCAGGGTCCTTAAATTATGCGCTGCGCATGATCAGACGTGGAGCCCGTGGCGCCCGAGACAGCGGCGAGCGGGAGGCCATCGTTTCACAACTGACTCTGAATGGTCGCGCACGCGGGTCCTGCCCTGCTGGGGCCAAATATGGATTGCCCACACAGCCGCAGAGCAGCATGCATCTGTAACAGCATGCCGAGCGAGCTCGCAGACCTCGCACAGTCGCACAGTCGCACAGTGCGTCGACAGGTCGCGAGCCTGCGCAGCCTAAACGGGGAATCCAGGGCCAGGGATAGGCGCAGCAATCTGACTAGCTAGCGGCCGCCGCCTCGGGACACCCACGCACGCACATGGCACGCGCGCGCTCTGTGGTCACCACTGTCATGCAGCATGGTAACCGTACACTCATACACACGCACGCGCGCGCACGCGGGTGATCGGCGATCGCTGGTCGCAGCTACCGGCGGCGGCGAGCGCGGGCTCGTCGCACCGCCAGCGCCGCGCCGGGCGGCTCCAGTGCGGCAGCCGCGGGCGGCCCAGGCAGCCTCTCAGGGGTCTCAGGGGCAACTCACGTACATTAGATAGGGTAGGTGGGGGGCGGCGGGATCTCCACCGTCCCGCGGTCCATGGTCCATGGAGTCCATATATGGTCCATATGGCACATGGACTGGAATGCGGACATGGCATGGTGGGGATCCCTACACCCTCCCCGTCTAATGTACGTGGGGGGGGGGAGCGGGGTGGGCCAAAGCCGGAGTGACGTGACGACGAGGGGGTGGGCGCGTGGGCGAGCGCGCGCCTGCTCACCCAGCTACGCGCCGTGGCTGCGCGGGTGCGCGGTCTTGGACATCACGCGCTTGACTGGGAGGCCGTGACGACGCCGCCGAATCTCGTTGGCAGCGAGGCGCACGTTGACCGCCACGATGTCCATCAGCACGGTGTCAACGTAGCGGGCGTTCAGGTAGCCGTCCAATGCAACGATGCCTGGCGGTGGACGGGGGGGGGGGGCATCCCATGCGAGATGCGAGGGGTGATATGCTCCAAGATATATTTAACGTGAGCACCATGGGGGCGATGACGATATGGCGGGGGGGGGGGGGGCATGACGTACGCCGTGTGATGACGAGATGATTGAGATGATGTGTGGATGGACTGATACAATGCGTAGCAGTGCGTTGACACGCGGTACCTGCGACGTTGACGTGCATCGCGTTCCCCGACTGCGAGCCCACCGTGCGGGGGGTGCGATCCGACCTCGCGGCGTTGAAGCTGCACAGCAACTCCCCGGGAGCACGGCGAGGGAAGTGGGGATGGACGGGGAAGCCCTGGGCCACCAGGGACTCCGTCGGTGACAGCCAGCGCCGCGGCGCCATCGACCACCTGCCACTCACCTGGGCAGGCGACCGATATGCGATGCGGATGCGATCGGGCGGGTCGCGATCGGTACGATGCTATCATATGGGCGGGAGCCCCGCCCGCTCCTATGATAGCAACGTGAACCGATCGCCGCCCAGATCTGGGTCGACAAGGCCGACGCGACACGACGACACGACTCCCGACACGACAGACTGACCGTGTTGAACGGGTTGATGCTGTCGGCGAAGATCAGGCCCACGTTCGAGATGAGCGCGTGCAAGTCCGAGCTGGTCGTCTTGAGGGTGTGCTTCGCGCAGTCCTGGTTGATCTGCCAGGCGCCCAGCGGGTACGATGCGCGGTAGGCGTCGAGGTTGTCGATCTCCCAGTCAGACAAGCTCTTGTACCAAGCGTCGGCGTCGAACGGGGCCAGGGCAGCGGCACCGCAGCTCCGAGACCTGGCGCTGCGAGGCGCGCGGTGGTGGGAGAGAGCGGGGGCGAGCGGGCCAGGCCCAAGGCATGGATGGAGAGCGGGGTGGGGCCCGGGGTGCGCATGGGCCCGCCGCATGGGCCTCACAATCTGGGCGCGGGCGGGCGGGACATTGGAGAGACCCGAGGGACGATGGCCGCGACTGTGCCCACCTGAGGTCGCTCTGCAGCTCGTCAGGAATGACGGCGGGGTGCACCTCAACGCGGTCCTCGTCGGGCAGCGCCGAATACCTGTGCAGGAACCAGTACGCGCGCCAGGAGAAGCAGCTCATGCGATGAAACCTCCTGCTGAAGTTCGCGAGCGGCGATATTGGTAGACAAGATCTTCTGCTTGTGGCGCAGCTTGGTCCATTTCCTCCGGACACGATTAAGTTGGCGCGGCGGCAGGTTGGCGCGGCGGGGCTGGGGCGGGCTGGGGCCCGGGGGCTACACCCGGCTACACAGGGGCCAACCTCCAAATGAGACGGGACGGGTGACGCCAGCCGACCAAGTCCAACGGAAACCGCGTCCTGGTCCGCACGATCGGCCACCCGAACTGCCGAGGATCCAGCACGCACCAGTCGATGCGATAAAGGTCGCCGAGCAGCTCCTCGAGCAGAGACGTCGGAAACCCTTCCAAATTTTCTTGATCGACCTCGGGTTCTTGCAGCAAGCGCCGGAGAGCACACCAAGCCAGCGCGTCAACGATGGACGCGTGGTTGACGCCCTCGCGTCGCCCCTGCGCCGAGTGAGCTTTGCAGCTCGCACCGAAGGAGGGGGGGGGGGCAGGGCCGGGAGGGGCAGCGACGAGCCGAGGAGCCGACGGCACGACTCGACTGCCAGTCGAGTCGGGTCGAGCCGTCGTCTCGACTCGTCAGTCGCGGCGTCGCCAGTCGAGTCGACTGGCGACAACGCGACGTCACGGCGGCCGACGCGACGGCGAGCACGACGCCACGGCGACGAGCAGCGTGGGGCACCAGCAGTGTGATGACGAGCCACGCGAAGGGAACACCGACGCCGATGGCGGAGGCAATACCCAGAGCGACAGACGGCCGCGCCGTCCTTGATGACGGGGGTGAGGACCTATGGCGGTGCAGCGATGACCGATGACGGGTGGGCCGGCGAGCGGGGTGGCTAGCACAGGCAAGAGGGTGGAGCGGGCAGGAGTGGGGAGGTGTGGGGCGGGGTAAGGGAGTGGCACCCAGGGAGTGGGTGGAGGAGTGGGGGAGCGGAGGATCCAGGAGGGGAGGGGAGGGGGGAGGGGCACAGAAACGATCCCAAGTGGGCCCCCGTAAGGCCGCATCATACGAACTGCCAGGATTGCACTGCGAAACAGCAGCATCATGTCCCAGAACGCTCCCCGACGGGCCCACGGAGGCCCAGCAACGGTATCGGGCACACGGACCGCGAAACCATAACTCAAGTGACTCAAGGGAGGGGCCGTTACTATGCACGCCTGGGATGGGGAGGGCGGGGTGTGGGAGATGGGATATGACCGGGCCGAGCCTGCACCGCGCGCTCGGGCATGCTGCGCAGGTTCTGCACGTCCTGCGCCAGCTCGCTCAC